GGATGAATTTATGTCTGGATTCTCAATTCTGTTCCATTGGTCTATGTATCTGTTGTTGTACCAGTACCAGGCTGTTCTGAGTACTGTGGCAGTATAATAGGTTCTAAAATCAGGTAGTGTGAGGCCTCCCACTTTGTTCTTCTTCTTGAGTAATGCTTTACTTATTCGGGGCCTCTTCCCTTTCTACATAAAGTTGGTGATTTGTTCCTCCATCTCATTAAAAAATGCCAGTGGAATTTGGATTTAAGCAAGACTTTTGAGGGAGACAAGACAAAAGTATAATCCAATGCCAAATATACCAGACCATTCCACTATGCCATTCTCAATGAAAACATCAAAGTTCACTTACTCCTTGTATCCATACAATTCCACAATAAAAAGGAATGAAGTATTGATACACACTATAATACACATGAACATATAGGCTCATTTGGTTCCTTGGTTTGGAGGTTTAGGGTCATGGTTTCATTGGACATCCCAGATAATTGGCCTAATAACATGTTTAGTGCTTCTGTTCTACCTCTTAGTTTGCTGTGTAGCGCCTGGGGTCTTAAAAGCTTGAAAGCAACCATACAAGGCACAACAACTGGTCTCTATTCAACTGGAGCAAGAGAGAAAGGAGTCAGGAAGAGGAGGAGGATATGAATGTGTGACTAATTGCCTCCATGAACTGCCTCCTTTGTCCTGAGACCAGAAGAACTGGATGGTGCCCAGCTACCATTACTGAACATTTTCATCAAAGATTCTACAAAAGAATCCTCATCAAAAGGGGGAAAAGGTAGACCAGAATTTCTAATTCTCATGGAATCCAGACTTTCTGGGGTCATGGAAGCTGGATGAATCCCTAAAACTATTACTGTGAGATAATCTTTAAACCAAAAATATCCCTTGAAGTATTCTTAAAACCAAACAATAGTTTAGCTTAACTAGTAAAAAATATGTGCCTTGCACATTGTGCTGTTTTAAGAACTAACTATATGGTATCAAACTGACAACAGCAACTTAAAAGATTAGACAGGAAACTTAGTGGGCAGCACCTTTATGTTATTGGAGAAGAAACAACTCAGAAACGGAGGGTGACGATGGTTGCACAACTCAAAGAATGTAATCAGTGTCACTCACTTGTACATGCAGAAACTGCTGAATTGGTGTATGTTTTGCTGTACACTCAACAACAAAATAAATTTTTTTTAAAAATTAGGCTCAGTGAAAGAAGTCAGATACCGAAGCCCACATACATGATTTCATTTGTTTGAAATGTTCATAAAGGCAAATATATAGAGAAAGAAGGCAGATTAGTGGTTATGTGGGACTGTAGCTGAGAATAGGTAGTTAGCTGTGTATGGGAAGAAGGTGATGGAAATGCTCTAAAAACAGATTATGAAAATAGCTGTACAACTCTAAATATACTAAAATTCATTTAACTGTATACTTAAAACAGGTAAATTTTTTTTAAATTTTATTTTATTGTACTTCAGGTGAAGGCTTACAGAACAAATAGTTTCTCATGAAATAGTAGTACACATGTTGTTTTATGACATT